CCTTTCTTCATCATCCCTAACATATCACAGCTTCAGTTTCATTAAATCCTTCCAACAAACTTCTGTTTTTTTAATTTACTATAAAAGTTTTTTTTCTTTCACACTTAAATTTGGACAGACTTCAAAGATCTAACCGATTCCGGAAATCTTTTTCACAGTAAAAAACACGAAAAAGTTTGACTTTTCTAGGTAACCTTTGAAAAGTTGTATAAATATGGCAAAATTGAGTACACGAAAGGTAATTGGAACGATTGTATTGCGTTTTTTCTTCGGTCAATCGAGGATTTTGATTATTTTGTCGAAGAAAATGTGTGGTGTCGTGAGAAGTGCGCACGAGAGCATAAAATAAATGGGCAGACAGGTCTGTTTATTTTATTCAATATTTCTGTCCAGTTTGCTTCGAATAAGAATGATTGTCCAAAAAGATAATCTCGTTCTCACTGCAATAATGTGGATCGAAAACGTTGAGGAACAAAGATGATAATTTGTTTATAGAAATGATTCCGCTGACCGATTAACATCCATCCTAATAGATTCTGAATTTCTTACTGCTTTATGCAGATCATCCCTTGAATACTTCGTCGAAATGTATGAGTTTTGTTTGTCTTTGAAATTTGTAGAATTGGAAGATGCCGGAAAAGATATTGTGGAGATAGCAATGATGTACGCAAATGCGCAACATGCATTATGCTTATTCCGGTGTAAAAATGACCGGTTAACATCGATGAGACCTCCAGTAAATGATCCTGATGTTTTCGAAGAATTCCAGGCCCGAAGGCCATATCAGTACCTACAAATTTGTTACTGGAAGGTTCTATTTTTAATAACTGTCTGATAAATAAAAGTTTGTATAATAATTTTCCGACGTGTTTTATCATTTCTGGTTCAAAAGTATGCCACTCGTTTTCAGCAAAAAGATTTGGCATCAGCCGTAAGAAGCGCCTATACATATTTGGTGGCAAATCCCAAAGATCAGGAAACGTTGGATAATTTAGCTTTTTACATGGAACAAGACGGGTATCATGAAGATATGCTTATTGATGCCCGACAAATGAAATATGAGGTAAATGAATGAGATTTACCAACCATACTTTTGAATAATTGATAAATGAGATGATTGAAGTCGGAATGAAGGAAAAAAAAAGGAAAAACCAAACTTGACGGGTTGTTGTAGGATTGAGATTTCTCCGCTCTTTATATAAATAATACTAGGTCTTCAAATTGCATTATGGTACGTATGAATGCTTATAAGCTTATGCATTTAAATGAATGCATGATGTTATTATTCTAATTATCTTACTAAGCGGATTTCATAGTTATCAAACACAATTGAGTAGAATTAAGTTGGTTCTGAATCCAGGCAAGCTATATGCGAGGTGTCAAAGCATACAACGATGGAGACTGGCAGTTATGTGTTAATGAATTCGAAACTTCAGTGAAACAATTTTTTGACGAGGAGCAAAAGTGTCGGCATATTTGCGAGGATAAATTAAACTGGGAAACGTTTGATAGTGCCAATCCGGAAATCACTATTATCGTTACAAGTTTGTATCAACTGCATTATTTGACACTGAGTTTCCCAAATTTTTTACCGAAATTGCATATATTCATGCTGAACATTTGTTCCAGGTATATATTTATCAGTACTGCGATGTAAACATGACTGTGTTAAGAAGTTGTCACGGGTAAATGGTCATGATATCGGGTTCATTCTTCCAACATACTTCGAATATCTTCATGTTTGCTACTATAAGTGTTAGTTTACCTATAAAGTAAGGAAGGGCGGAGTATAAATGCTAGCATGACCATGCATTCGATAACATTGCTCATGAATCATCTATAAAAAGGCTATCAACCGTTACACCATTCCGTTTAATTTACCGATTAATTGGACTGTCTGTTGTTCGAACCGTAGGAGGCCAGTACGGCAAGTATTTTCTGGGTTTGCTAGAATTCTTCGGGATAATGTTCAGGTAATAACAAAGCCGACTGGAATAATGATTTAATAGAATGAACTTGTGTAACAAAGAAACAGCAGTACAAATTTTGGCCAAATGAAATAACGAAGCAAAAAAAAAAGAAGTTTCTTTGTAATGTCAGTATTTTCCAGATTTAAGGGGATTGTCAAATTACGAATCGCTATACTCTATCTGTATTTTTTGAGCAAAAGATGCGACCGTTCAACAATTTCTGAAAATTTCCAGTGAATCGGGGAAGAGATGTATGCGAAGCCGTTGCAAATAGCATTCTGCTGAATCCAAGCAACCCCATCATGCGGCGTAACAGGCTCTTCTATTCTAAAACATATAGGAGTGATGATCTTTTCAAACCTTCTGATGTAAGTTTCCAAAGCATCATATAGGATCTCTCTCCTTTTGGTGATGGAATACGTTTTGCTAAAATGTCCACTGACATACACATAAAAAGCAACGAATACACAAAGAGCAAACGTACCAAACATGAAGAGCAACGAATACTTTCTTGTGAATAGCTATGATTGCAGGAAATTATCGAATTCCATAAGCGGTATGCAATTGAACGACTGTTCTTGGAGTTCGTCGATGAGCGTTTCAAGTTCGAGAACAATGAGGTACGGATAATTTATGTTTGCTGTTAAAGAATAGAAGACGGTCTTATACATAGTCTTCCGGTTACTATCAGCATCAATGCAAAAGCATAATTGAGCATGACGGTAATTTGCAGCTACCCGCAGAAAGAGTAGATGATCGTCTTCCGCTGGATACAACCATACCAATTAACGATGATTTTGACTATTCTGCCATTGAAAAGGACTTGTTCACTGAGGGAGAATGCTCGGCACTAGCAATAGCGGCTATATTCGAAACAAAAACAGCACAACAAAAACAGTTATTAATCGATCTCAGTGATCGAATAGCGTCACGGTATAGAACCAGAATTCTGTACCATTCTCTCACTTGTTCCCCAGATACCACTGCACCGAAATGTCCTCACCATTCACTGATTGTGTCCATAGATCGTTCAAGTTGTGGTACATTCTTAACTGATCCAAACTCCTGTGTACTCATTTTTTGCGTTGAGTAGATGACAGTGACCACTTCGCTATTCTAATAAGAGGCATTTGCATAAAGTCGAATATCCATAAAAATCTCTGTAGGAAGAATGGTACTTCCGTAATTTAACTACATAAATTTAGTCTACAAAACCGCAAACACAACTCATAATAAGCAGTGACTTGAATTATATAAATCCGTCTTCTTCATATAATTTCACTGTCGTGTATCCTACCCAATGTAAATAAGCAACAGCAAACTGAATCTGGAGATATAACCCAGCATTTCAAACTATCTTGCTTTATCAGACGATATTCGAAACCACGATGGATGTATACGGGTAAAAGACCACGGTTTTTTGACATGAACGTGTTCATATAAAAACTTCACGGATCTAAATCTAACACCGTTTTTACTATTACTGATGTAGCTGTGCTCCAATTTATTGCATGTAATTTCTACAGTCACGAAACAAAACATAGCGTAAAATTGAACAATTTAACCAAGATATTCAAACAAGCATATACAAGCACACAAGCAAACAGACATATACAAACATACAAATACATTCCAAATATTATGGCACCAATACTACCTTGAATCGTTTTTGAAAAAAAACCTCGAATCCATGTCTCTAGGCATAACCTTCTTCTCTGTTAACCATAAACTATATTCCCTAATTTAAAACACAGTACGTAAATCAAACTGGTATCATTATTAGTGAATGGATGATATTTAATATGAGGATTATCTTCTATAACATCGAACATCAAACATATAAATGGAATTTTATTCCTTTAATCGATTTGATTCTACGTAATACATGTAATGCTTTAGAGTTATTAGCAAAAGTGATGGAAGTGATCAACACAAAAATAGGAAAAAAAGTACCCGCACAACAGCACAATTCCATAGAGCTACATCCTTGCAGAATTACGAGCACGCTCAGCATACTTCACCGGGAAATGCAGGAGAAAAGAATTAAGAACATATTCACAAATTCGAAGAAGTCAGAACAGAATTGACCAATATTATTTCGAAAAGGTCTTGTAAGACACAATATCTTTCAAAGGAAATTTCAAAGTCAAAATGATCTCTAGAGACAATGGTCAGACATTTGGCACATCCTCTGACAAAAATTTAATTATTTTGTAATCTGGCACTTGCAAACTAATGTTTTATATAAATTCAGAAACACCAAGCGACATTAATGAATCAGTGTGGCGTCGGTACATGACCATCAACATAGAAATTTCTAGTTATTGGAGGCAAAGTTAATACGATATTATCTAATTCTTTGGTTAAAATGATTTGACATGAAAGACGCGAATTAGGCTTCAACGCGGGGGCCATATCCAGCATATCATCCTCGGCTTCCTTTGCTTCAGGTAATTTCTGATAAAACTTTTCATCGACGTATACATGACAAGTAGAACAAGCACACGAAGCCTCACATGCTCCTTCAATATCGACTTTATACCTTAAATATGTATGGTCATGAACCTAATAGAAAAAAACTCTTTTGTACTACTCTTACAAAAGTGTTTTACGCTTTTTTCACAAAGATCTTTCGATAAGGAATGATCAAAAGACCTTTGTAAAAAAACTACATGAATGCATACTTCGTTGTGCTATTTTCCCAACAATTCTTCCACTTTTTAAATTTAGAACAGCAGGACAATGGCATAGAATCTGCTGAATAAACAAGAACCACATAAACAGAATCCCCGAACTTTCCCATAAAATCTTTTGTTTTCAGCTTTTGAATAATTCAAATCCCGAAAAAAACATTTGCAATTAAAGAAGAAAACACACGCGCTACCAGTTAGTTGTCTTTAAGAAAAAAACCCAAAATTAATATCTTAAAGTGAATACCTGTGTGCTAGATACATAACATTGTCACCAACTTTGCCCCTAACTTTCTTGATTGTTCCGTCAGGTAAAATGAAATTAACATGAACGATCTCGCTTTCCGATGCTGAATTTCGACATTCATATTCGCCGGTTTTGAGAAATGCACCCACATGGAAAGGTACCTGCACCACTTTTGTTAATGATGTTATTCGTAACAATGTCGGCAGCATATTTCTGGAAAATTGGATGAGTGAATGAACATGAAAACACTTTCATATGTCAAAATACACATTTCTTGCAAAGACAAAACCTTTGATTAATATCTTTAGAAGGATTTCAAATTTCAATCACTTTTAGAATTCTTATATGCAAGGTTTCTAATACGTATAATCATAAAACCATCCTCATATATATACGATTCTCTCGACCCTGCCGAAACGGGACTGTTCACCAAGGACAATTACTTCTCTGGACAGCTAGTTGACCATTTTTCACAAACTTATTATAAACTGACAGACTAAGGAGTGCAGATATAATCCAGTCCCCATTATTCTCGTCACATCAGGCTCATATTACTTGAAAACAACGGCTAGCATCCAAGAATATGTCTAAAAATCTAGGATGAAACATAGAACTTGTATATCTGGTCCAAATTTCACACATAACGTTTAAAAACGATATCACATACCGCATGTGCAACATGGAAGAGTCATAAACGGTTCCCGTTAGTGATTGTTCTTGATGGTACCAGCTCGAATACATCACATCATACAGAAAGTGAATACCTCAAAGGAACTTCACATTAGGCGAACGTAGCTATTCAAGATATTTGAGGTACCAACTGCTCGAAAGTAATTCGAACATTTTTTTGCTCCGATCACTTTCAAGTCCAAGAAATTAATAAAGTCCCGAGAAAACTATCGCACCAATCCTTTCAATCCACTTGTTTTATTTAACTGGAACTAAAAGAATCCCGTCATAAAAGCGTGCCAACTCCTGAAATACAACGCACCCATCGAAAGTCACGCCCGCAATGCAACCTTCTTGTTTCAACTCAATTCCCATGCATCTTCATCCAATGGCGTCAAATGACTCGACATTGTACTACGGAAGGGTAGCCCCTTCCCGGATAGTTCCCGTCAACTCATCCTTCATATTATCCCGTTCAACTTACTCATGAATTAAGCAATCCACCATTAGTCACCGCCTTACCATTCCAGGCTCGGTGCATAATCATCCTTTTACAATGAGCACGAGAATCCCCGTTTTACTTTGAGGATAGAATACTATTTTTGAACATGCTGCATTACATCCTGAGGAACTTAGCTTTATTACCATCTTTCAGGAAATGATAGGTAATAGCCATAATCGATAGAAAAAATTGTCCGGTAATTTTGATAACTTCCATCGGAAGTTTTCGGTGTGACATTTCGAATCCAAAATTTTGAAGCACTAATTCTTTGTGATTCTTAGGATGATTACAGAAGACATCGGTACTATAGAGGTTGGACAGCAGAATAAACTCGGCGTTCTTTTGGGCCTTTAGGGCTTTGGTCAGTTTCGTATTATTCGTTATAAGCAAAATCTTCGGTAAGTTTTGGGCTTTTCTCCTTATTTTTTGTTGTTAAACACCAAGTTTACTTGTCTTTCTTACCTTCGGATATTCTCGTCATGCAAAAACGACAACTTTAACCCACCCTATTCTTCACAAAAAAAAAAAAGGAAAGCGTGGCGACAAAATAAATGACGGCAGCAACAAAGAAATGAAGTGAAAAGGAAAGAATGCATGGTTGCCTTTTTATTTTAAGCATGCTATGAGTTTAAATAAAATAAAATTTGCCGTTTTCTGTTTCTTTATTTAATTTTTACTAATTGTGTGAGTTCTGCACAGCGTGTAGACAGTTCCACGGTTGCATACCTACTAATAAACCCCTAATTTGTGTTGTTGTCCCGAAATCCGATATCATATCAGACCGGTGCAGTCCTCCAACAGTACCTACCAGCTACCCTTATCCAGCCATCCCTCACCCATCCACAGCTCCTCCCCCGCACCTTCCCCAACCCTTCATGCCCCTGTGACAAATTGGCTATTCATCCTTCAACCTATGAAGGTGTCGATTTTTAACGCTCCTGGTATGGTCTTTGGTTTTCCCGGATGATTACATCCAGTGGTGCGCGGGCGGGTGAGTGGTTTTGTGGTTTGGAAGTTTCCTAGTTTTGATGACTTTCTCATGAATAAGTGTATAAGTATATAAATATGGCCGGTTACGGGTGAGTATAGACAGAAAATCTTACACGAGAATGACGAGGGCCATTCCATAGCTTGTTATACTCACATCCCTCGCGCTAATATCACGACACATTTCTCTCTTGTCCTATTGACGTAAGTTATGATATCAAATCATCTCTCTGAGCAGCCGCCAATCCCCTGACCTTTATTGGCAGATTTCATTTCATAATATCATATACTCAACTCGAAGATGAATAAACACATTGTAGATGTGGCAACTTTCTATGACACTCTTTGCGGCTTGGTTCCATTATTGCATTACCTATGATACTGTCATTCTTTCAACTCTAAAACTGAAGTAAGTTTTCAGCTCCAAAGCTGAATATTTTCCAACACTCGTTATGTAGCACTATCCTTTCGGCTTGATTTATCTGAGATCTGTCGAGCGCAATTTTGGATGAAGTTAGAGAGGAAAGATGATTTACGTTGTATAATGAGAAGTCAGATACCAGCTGTGCCTTGATACTACCTGATCATTGCATTTCTTGTGGTAGGGAATTTAGCGATCGGATTCAGTGACAGGTGAATCATGATTTTCACATAATATAATAAGTGCTAAAACTTCACGTCCCATTTCAGGAAAATGACGGTAGAAGACCTGGTAGCATCCTCAAAAGTACTAGCTGTTGGTGTTAAGAATTTTTCTTTACCAAAATTTGGCATATATTCGCAAGCCTATAGTGCCGGAAACTCTGATTCTCCTTTTGCATCATTAATGCGAATTTTTCCTAATCAGAAAGCACTACCCATGGAGAATCCATTAGTGGTGAGCTTTGCTTTTTTTGTAAAGTGAAAGCGACACTAGGCAACTTTTTCCTGGATGAAGGACTATGTAAGCAGAGTACCATTTAGTAAGTAGAATAATTAGTAGTGTCACTTGACTAAAGTAATACCTTTCCATACTGCTGTGGAAGGGTATTATTTTCATACTGAAGGATACTGGAGGGACTGGAGGGATATAATTCTAGTTGTATAATTTTCGAGATTTTCACTCTCATGTAATGAAAAATTATTTGCGCATTTTCTCAGATAGAGATAAATTTGTTACTTTTTATGGACCGTACCATTTATATTCTGTACCATTTATATTTCTGTACCATTTATACCATTCTGTACCATTTATACCATTCTGTACCATTTATATTTCTGTTGTTTTGTAAAGTGATTTTTAGGTGATTTCTAGCGATGATGATGCTAATAGATCAACTACTGATATAGTTTACACCCGAAAAGATTTGCACGATCTTCTAGCATCTGATGAGAATTTTAAAGGTTATCAAACAGTCATTATTTCTTCTGAGGATGCTTTCGAAGAAGGATTGGTTGTTTTTCCTATCTGTTGTACATTACATGATAGAGTAATGTATCAGTAATTGTATCATCACGGTAACCTTTGCAGGTCCGTCGAAAGCGTGTTTCCTCTAATGTTAATTTTGATTGACGAGCCATCATCTCATGTATC